GTGTGTGTGTGTGTGTGTGTGTGTGTGTGTGTATATAGTATATATATATATATATATATATATATATATATATATAATGTATGTATGTATATATATATATGTGTGTGTGTGGGTGTGTGGGTTGATGAATCAGTGGTATGAACCAAGTGTCTAGATAGACCTAGGTCCAAAATGTGTCTATTAGTTCAACACTTAGGAATGGAGCTCGAAAATATATATATATTTGTTGCCTTGTCTGTCTAGTTGCTCCTGAGGTGTCGATCATAAAGTCGATATTATATGAAGAAAATGTTCCGGAATTCGTTCACAGATACTATCACCTGTGAAGATGGGAAAAAGGTACATAAACTCGTACATCAATTGAAAGGACTGCTGGAAGACGATCCAGTTTTTGTGCAGAGCTTCTGCGAGCAGCAAGGGTTGCGATTACTGACAACTGTGGCACTAGTACAGTAAGTACCGTTGGGCGTTTATGCTGTAGGGTTATTGATAAAAGTAGTATGGACCAGTGTGTATGTTCAAGTTGCAAGTTGCAATACATACGCCCATGAAGCACACCTGTGTGAGTCGCGAAATTCTCACAGAGTGTATATACACGAAGCTGTTCCTTACGCTGGCTATCTACTGTCAGTAAATCCCTGTGTACTCCGTTTAGACCCCCAATATCACTACTGCCAAGCATATTTACTATTGCATATCCGTTTACTGGATGGTTTATACGTATTGAAGGCCACACCAGCGAATTCAGGAGTTTGAAATTGTTATTGTGACGCTAATTAAGGCTGTACTCTCCTATGACCATGCATGAAAACATCTTGCATCATTTCCTGCCTAGGCCTCGTATTGTTGGACAATACGCTCTGAAGTCAATTGCGCACACATTGACGTACGTTGATGGGATGAATGCCATCGTCGAATCGATGGAGACGTGCCAAAACCTTGTAGAGCTGATACACAACGTCGATGTAAGTCTTGGTGATGGTAGCTTCTCTGTCACTCTCGATGTGTTCCTTATACTAATTTTTATTTCTCAGTTCAATGAACGGTACGCTACTAGCATCCGACCCACCGGCTATACAAAAGGAGGTAAAGTCTACACACTAATGCTCGTATATCACTTTCCCGCATCTATTCTTTGAACTTATTTTTCCAACAACTGTAATCGTTTTCTCCTTCATTTATATTCACTGATTACCACAGCACCGGAAGGTTGTGGTAGAACTTCTGCTTCTCATTGCCGACTATAACGAGGCAGCGGTGAAGCTACTGCACAGTGCAATCGCAAACTCGGGCATGACACCAAGAGCGAACGATGGTATGACCTCGATGGATGTTGGCAATTTTACATTCATCAATAATCTATATAAATGTATATATCAATATCGATACAAAGCTGATATGACTGTAGAGTCCATGCATATGATTAGACATGTTTATATATATATATATATGCGCCTTGTGTGTCACGCGATATACGTACATGTCTTGAGTGACTTGCCACGGTGTATCTACGCTGATGTCTTATCACTGGGTTTGTGTGTATGCCAACATTCTAGTATTGAGGGCGAGTGTATATGCCAACATTCTAGTATTTTTAGGATCAAGTGTATTTTTGGTGGGTATTCAGTTTTGGATTTGAAGGTCAAAGTGCGCACGACCAGAAGTGTGCACACATATTGTCTATAATCTTTAGTGCACGGCATGTAAGGGTTTGTGGTCAGAGTATTTTACTTCGCTGTCCATACTTACAAGCGTCCATTCGAGTAATTCTTCGAAATGGATTAGTTTATATACACAGGTCTCAATATATATATAGAACTATAGTTAATTTGACACTTATTTCTCGTGTAATGTGCTCCAAATCCAATTGACTGCTCCGTACTGCACTATGTCATCTATCTTTGAAGCGTTTTCCGTAATCAAGATATATCAATAAGGACTAATTGAAAGGTCAGACGAAACTAAAATCTTATCTCCTACACACGTGGAATTGTAGGCAGCGGATGGGCTTTTCTCGTCCGCTGTGTGGGCGAGGATGTGGGGGACTCTGGCATCTACTGCATGGCACTCATCAATAAGGTGTGGTGGTTCGGTTTAGTTTGCCTACGGTTTAGTCGCAGGTGTGAGTAGGATTTGGTATTCCACACTGCACTTAAGTTTGAGACGGTATAAACACTAGCGCACCTGGCTGTTGGCTGCCTTGGTCACTAGCCAATTGATAGTGTGCTGTAAAATAAGCTCCCATCAGAGCGTTCTGACTTTGGTCCGTGCATGTCCAAAGGTGTGAATCTCACTTCGATCACAACCCCGCCACAACTCCTGATCTGACTGTACATTTAAGATCTGGTTCTCATCTGATGGCCCAACTATATAGAGCACACACACGAGCGCTAAACTAGGCGCCGAGGTAGTCAAGATACATTCTGATAGATTGTGTAACTGCATCACATTTGTATACGATACGTCTTCGAATCGCTCGACATTAAAACCTGAATGAACCGGCAGAAGCTTGGGGCTACCGAAACAGAGGATAAGTTTTACGACATCACCGATCAGATGGAGATCGCCGGAATGGCCGACATTATAAGTGTAAGTTATACCAGGTTGTAACCTCGCTAGATGTTGGATAAAATATGTGTTATACGTCACAAGTTTGGGTCACCATAGGTGTAGATTTGTGTCGTATAGATAAACGCTGCTGACGTGGTAGGTGCCTATTCATGTGAGATTTCAGTCCATGAGTCCCTATCCTACAGCTAGAACATCGTATTTCGTATGCCTTGGGACTCGTTGGCGATAAAATATATTCTGTTTGCTTATGCTTGATTCTTGGATATTTGCGACTGTCAGTCTCATGCACTTATTAAAGGTCGCGGGAAAATGTTCCCCCAATGAACGGACGGCTAAACTTGTTGTACAGAGTCTCGCATGCACAAAGGTGCCAAAGCCACATGCAGGTCATGTCCACATACAGTGATCGTAGTTGATGTGGAACGCTATAAATGCCCCTTTGCCAGTATTCAGAGAGAATACCATAATATATTATTTGTTAATATCTAGTCTGATCAATCTTGTTGAATATAGTCATTCCGTTTGACTTCAACATGTATTTGCACAACACAGGCTAAGATGGACAAGGGAGGAACGTCAAAGGCACTTGCAGTGCAATTTACTCAGTACGATGTGATGGTGCAAGAGGCGGATGCCAAGAAAAATGTTGTAGACACACCTACACCAACCAATACCATGAAATTAAGGTGCGCACAGTGTTGTAGTTTACCATCTCACAACTGTATTTGCACTGCCGACAACACGCTCGACCGCTAGCACAGCTCACTTTGATTGAACCGCCTGATCGACTATAGACATACTTTCATGGGTAAGATTTCCCATATTGTGAAGTATCGCAGCTATATACAATCGAAATAATTATTTATTTATATATATATATATATATATATATATATATATATATATATATATAGTATATATATATATATATATATATATATATATATATATATATATATATATATATATTATAT